GGGGGACAGATTACAGTTCAGACTTTTTGCTTCAGAATCCTGACGAAGCACAACGAGCTCAGAGCTCAACAATAGAGCAGCTCTTGTATCGGAGTTCTAGTTCAGCTGACTGTTCAGGTTCAGATTAATTACTTTTAGAAAAATATGGCCGTGTTGCTTAAGATTTCTGTTATTTTGTTTTATTTTGCATGCTTGTTGTGAAGGGCTCATTAGGACGGTGTTATAGCGGTGTTATGCTGATCAGTGGCTCGGCTGTCCAGCTCTGCTCTCTCGTTCCCAAACACTCGCTCTTTCAGGCTGAATATAGAAGCGATTAAATGTAAATAACACAGGACGGCTCTTTTACCTTCGTCTTTAGGCTGAAGAAGCTGATCCGGAGTGAAGTGAAGGCTGCAAACTGTGTTGTGTGGCGTTAGCTTTAACTGGTAGCTTTAACTGGTGGCAATGAATATTTACAAGCTGTCTTAATTCAGAATCGCTTGGAAATCCATGAAAACTTAAACAAAATGCATAGTATTGTTTATTTGTGTCTTAAGTACGACTTTGTCTTTTATAGCAGTCATAGTAACTGAAAGCGGAAAAAAGAGAGCCGCATTTGGGCATGCAGTTGTGACGTCAGCGCGGCAGGTGCAAAGAGCCCATTGCTGTTCGTTTAAACAGTCGTAACTCGCGGTGCGGTGAGTAATTTATTCCTTCCTGCTGGTTCTGGAAGCCGTCATGTTTGGAACAGTTATTCTGAGGACGATGCTAACCCAATGCCCGAGGCCTGCAACGTTTTTAATGCTAACGAAGCGCTTTAATAATTCAATAAACTGAATAGTGTGTTTGATACATCCAGTTTCATACATTCAGACTTGTTTATTGTTATGTATAGAAGCTGTTTAAATGGTCGTTTCAAAGAGCTCTGAGAAAATGCTAAGTATCTTATTACCGATCCAATGGGGTTGTAATATTTAGTTGCAGCACTTCCTGTGATTAATACCTAATTAATGGATGGGATTCAGCCTGTGCTGAAAGTTAACTGTGCTCTATTAATGTGCATTGCCATTGGTTTATTACTGAACAGTACGGTTTATTAAACTGGTACATCTTAACCTTCACCATTTTCCTAACTCACTTTACGATAACGTTAAAGTTGCACTGCATTTAGATCTCAGTTGTAGTTCACATCAAGCATGTGGGTGTGGGCTTAGTGTAAAACTTTCACTATTTACCATGAAACATCAACATTAAATGACTTCCAAATGCAAGATCACAGCTCCATCATCACACTTCCTCTGTCTTTCTAGAGAACAGCCCTGAACACATTTCCATGGTCACTTGATGACCTGACTGTAGCCCCGCCCACTTTTAAGAGGCAGTCATGTTTTTCTGCTGTATGTTTTACTGTTATTCTATAATTTATATGGGTTTCAGCATGTGAATACTGACTAAAAACGATAACATGATGAACTCTATGAATGCTGGCTGCTGACCGAACCGCATAGGGGTGTAGAAATGACGAACTGCAGTTCTTCGCCATGTGCATATGATCGGCTCTAAATGACACGTGGATCATCCGACAGGCGCCAAATTGGATGCATATGACCTTTGTTGACCTCTAAAGAGCACAACAGCATTGAAATGTATTTTGACTCCGCTGCGCCCCCTACATTAATCCGCCAGCTATATTTCCTCGCTAAACCAATGAATCTGCACCACATTTTTTTGCACCGTCAAGGAGCGCCTCCGAACGCATAGATGCGTACCGCCTGGTGGACGGGCGCGGAAACTGCGCAACAACTTCTGTGTTAGCACGTGGCCAGCGTTGATGGAAACTGAGCAACAGCTTCCGCGGTGCGGGCGGAGGAGCTGAAAACTGCGTGAGAGCTTCTGTGGTGGCTGACGTGAGCGACGGTTGCTAGTACCCCGCGGTGGCAATAGGCCGGAGCGGCGCTTGGCTGCGAGGGCCGTTCGAGGCTGCTTGCAGCTTTAATTTCTCCTGTTATTAAAAGCTTTATAAATATCGTCTAATGTTCCTCAGGGCTGTGAACTTTGACGGTTCTATTCTGGTTCTGTTAAAATGATCAAATTTAGATTTAGGCATCAGTTCTTCTATTATTTTAACTGAATCAACTCTTAACTGGTTCTGGAGAAACTTTTCTATGATTCATCTGATTCCAGATAAAATGGGTCAATCCCAAACCTCAACCAGATGATACAGATTATAATCTGGTGAATCAGCGGGTCTGAGGTGTGATGTGTTTGGTCTCTCAGGTGAACTACACCCAGCCTCTGGTGGCCGTGAAGTTCCTGAACGCCTCTCTGAACACCGACATCAATGTGGAGTGTAAAGTGACGTCCAACACTCTGATGGCCGGCAGCGAGAGGGACAAATTCGCTGGACGGGTTTCCTTCAAACTGAGGATCGACGGCCAGGAAACTCAGTGATGCATTCACTGACTGGATCCACGATGCATTCACTGACTGGATCCACGATGCATTCACTGACCAGATCTATGATGCATTCACTGACCAAATAGAGCTGCAGAATCATTGATCAGTATTGATTTGATTCTGAGAGCCAATCAGATGACAGTAATTTCAGAGTATTGAATAATCTGCATGAATCAAACTAAATTATTTAATACAGACAATACATATTTATTTATGCATATTTATTTATACATATTTCATTTATTTGTATGTTTATTTATATCCTGCTTATTTATGTTTGTTTACATTATTTGTCAACATAAAATTTATTTTTATCATTCATTTTAAACTGAAAATGCATCACAAGGTAAATAAATTACATAATAAAATCAAATATAAAAAGCTTTAAAAAGACAAAAAGACTGAACAGATAAATGTTTGTCAACATGAACTAAAATGAATCAGTTCATTAAATGAGTAAATTATCAATATATTATTAGTTTAATTTCTATAATCAGATCAGAACACGTTCAGCTGCAATAACAATTAGAATCACTAACCAGTCAATGTGAAACAGGTTCAGGAACTGGTTCATATGTTGGAACACAAACCAGTTCCTGAACTGGTTGATCATCAAAAGGTTGAGTTCAGGATCCAGATGTCAGAATGACGTGTAAACAGATGAAACCAAATTAATAACGATGAAAGAAACTAAACTGAGAAACCAGTTCAGGAACTGGTTTCTCAGTTTGTGCTGTTGTCATAGAAACAGATTAATTCAAAGACAACAGCTTTAGTAACCATGGCAACACCCTATCTTCCTTAACCTGACTTAGTTTCCTTGCCAACCTGTAGCTGCAGCTCGTTAGTTAATTAGATAATCAATTAGTTAATTAGTTTAGTTAACGAGTCAGAATCACTGATTGGATGTTGTTTTCATGTTTGTTTTTGTTTACTTTCTTCATCACCATGGCGATGAACACCTGCTGATGACACGCCTCTTCTTACCTGCACTGATTTCCAAATGTCTTCCTATAGAAACGGACCGGCCAATCAGACGGCCCCACTGTATGATGTCATGTGCTGTAACCTCTGTGATTGGTTGAATTCTCCTGAAAATGTTCCTGTTTGTTGAATAAAGAAATGAAGGAAACATAAAGATCTGCCTGACCTCTGACCCTGAACACTGGTTCTGAAACTTTATTGTCCAAGAAATTCATCATTAAATATTAGAAAAACTTTAAACAGAGAAAATGGGATGAAAAAAAGATTAAGGAAAGAAAACAAAAGAAAACAGATTTCCTCTCGTCTTCATGGAGCCAGAAGTTTTATGAGTTTGAAATTCTTCATGGCGTTTTAGGTTTTTAAGAGTTTTAAATAAACTTTAATCTGGATTTAATAAATTAGTGGATAAAATCTTCCTTATAATAACAAAGATATTTATCAGATCCTGCAGTTTTTCTGTAATAAAACCATAAATAATGTTTTTAATTTTCAAACTTACAGAATTATTTTAGTTTCAGTTAATAATCAATAATCAGTTTGTTTCGGTTCTGATTCTGAATAGGGTCTCGGCTCATTTGAATCTCTGATGTCCAGACGAAACCGGCGCCAGAAGTTCTTGAGCAAAACTTCATGACTAACCGGGTCATGATTTAGACCGGGTCTCGGGGTTCTGGACATCTGGGTCAGAACCGACCAGGGAAACGATGATCGGTTCTGAACATGGAGGTCCAGCAGAACCTGAACAAAAGGTTCTGGTGAACAGAACCTCTCTAACCCGGTTCTGTTCATCAGGAGCTTCCAGCTGCTGGAGATCCAATCACAACCCGTCCTGCTGTCCAGAACCAAGGGTCCAACATGTGGTACTGGAGGCACCAGAACAGTACCGGTCTGGACCAGCAGGGATCAGGGGTCAAAGGTCAGCTCTGCTGATGAAGTGAACCTTCTCAACATGGAGGTCAGTAATCTGAGAAACGTTTGGCTGCCATTTTATTCTGATGAACCGGATCAGAACCAACACTGTACTCCAAGATAAACAGAACCAGTCAGGTCTGACTGGACCCACTGGTATCGCCCATTATTACCTGGTACCACTTGGTTCTGGTCCGGTTCCTAGAACCCGTCTTCTTCAGTGACTGGATGGATCTGGACCCGTCAGAGGTTCTTCTCTCCATCTGAGTAGAACCTCTGTAGCATCGCTCCAGAACCTCAGTTCTGACCCGTTCTGGTCTTCCCAGAGCTGGTCCCAGTTGGCCTGGTTCTGGTTCTCCACCTGAGGGTTGGATCATTCAGAGCTTTTGGACCTGAGATTCTCTAAGGTTCTGATCCACACAGGAGGTCAGTTACAATCCAGAACCAGAGACTGAGTAGACCCGGGTTGATGGAACAAGGTTCTGGTTCTGATCCGTAAAGAAGAAACCATGAACCAGAACCTTCTAATGTTCTGGAGCTTCTTCTCTGGACCAGAACCACTGGCCCTAAAGTTCTGGGTGGCTCAAAAAGGTTCTGGTAGCAGCAGGTTTCCATGGAACAACCTGATTGGTCGGAGAGGTCATGTGACCAGGAAGTGAGTCAGACGCAGCAGCAGTTCATAGTTTTATTATAAAAGCTGCAGTTTCTACTGACAGAAAAAACACAAGGGGTGGGGGGTAACCATGGTAACAGTGACGGGGGCGGGGCTACTGTTGGACAGTTTAACACACACACACACACACACACACACACACACACACTGTTCTCACACACACATTAACACTGAGGACCAGGTGTGTGTTTCAGAGTCAGACGAGTCAGAAGGTTTAAACTCAGCGGGTCGGATGGAACCGGGTCAGAACTCCGTGATGCCTGGTTCAGAGTTTTGTCTTATAATCGGGAGGTTCCTGGTTCAATTCCCATCCTGTCTGTGGTTGTGTCCTTGGGCCAAACGCTTCACCTCCTGTTGGCCCTGACCTCCAGGCAGGGAGAGTCGGGGGCCCAACAGGGGGCGCCGGAGCCTGGCAGCCCAGAGCAGCTGCAGCTCTGGATCCTCTGGGCTTAATGAAGCTATGCAGGTCCAGAACCTTTACCACATGAACCTAACTGGACCCAGGTTCTGACCTGGGTTCTGACCCGGGTCAGAACTCTGCGCCGCTCCGTGTCTCTATCAGGAACCAGACCCGAGTTCATGACTCGGACCAGGCTGTGGTTCTGCTGGGGGTCAGAGGTCACACTGACCTGATGACCTCAGAGTTACAGAGGGAAGCTGGGAGGAGCCACTGGTTACCATGGTTACAACAGGTTACCATGGTAACTGGGTCAGCTGGTCAGGAACGACCTGCTCATCCTGACCCGGTTCTGACCCGACCCAGATGTCCTTTATGGAACCGGGTCGGCGCCAGAGGTTCTAACCCAGTTGATCAACCGTTTGGATCTGGTTCCTGGTTTACAGCGACCCGGTTCTGGACCGGTTCTGGTGAAGCAGAAACATGTTGGACTGGTCAGTTACCATGGTAACACCCATACCAGAACCACAGGGCTCAGTCACTGACCCGGTTCTGATGACGCAAGGCGCCGCCTGCTGGAGGAGAAATGGTACTGCTGGACATTTGGATCTGAGACGGGTCAGAGAACCAGAACCAGATCATTCTGGTTCTGGATCATCAACACCTGAGGGATAAACCCAGCTGGCTCAGAACCAGAACCTGTCAGACCAACGGGTCAGGAACAGAACAGAGGTTCTGGACCCGATCAGGCTGTCCTCCATCAGAACCAGTCTGTACCGGTCTGATTGGACCTGACCGGTTCTGGTGACAGTGTTCTGTCACCAGAACCCATCTGTCTGATTGGACCGGTCTCTGACCCGTATGGTACCGGTCCGGTCTCTGAAACACACCCCGTTCTCCTCACTCTCTACTCGTCGTCTTCCTCGTCTTCATCGTCTTCCTCGCCCTCCTCATCCTCCTCTTCCTCGCCGCCCTGAGCTGAAGAGTCCGGGTTCCTGGCGAAGGTTCCCCCGCCGCGGTACGCCACCATGTCCTGCAGGCAGAGGGCAGAGGTCAGAGGTCAGGGTTCTCTAGGGTTCTGGTTCCGGTCCGGTCCTCACCCGGTCGTACTTCTCCCTCAGTTTCTGGGCCTTCTCCTCGTACGGCTGCTTCTCAGACTGGCTCAGTTTGCTCCACATCTCTCCCAGCTTCTTGGCGCAGTCGCCGATGGACAGACCCGGGTACTGCTGCTTCACGCTGGGCCGGTACTCGCTGCAGAACACGAAGAACGCCGACCTGATGGGACACAGGGTTAGGGTTAGAGAGGACCCAACCAGAACCAGAACCAACCACCAGTATTCTGCTACTGGACCAACCAGAACCCTGCAGGTACTCACGGCGGCCTCTTGGGGGCGTTGGGGTCTTTCCTCTTGCGGCCTCTCTTGCCGAAGCCTTTGGGCGGAACGTAGTCCCTCATCTCCCGGTTGTAGCGAACCTTGTCGGCCTTCGCCATGTCCTCAAAACGCTTCTTCTCTCCGGGGGACAACGCCTGGACAAGAGGACAAGATGGGACCAGCTGGAGGACAAGATGGGACCAGCTGGAGGACACAGAGGACCTGCCAGGACACCAACAGGAAGTTCTCTGTCTCTAGATCCTTCCTGTCTCTGAGGTCAGGTCACCATCAGCTGCTTTAAGATCCACCACAGAAGAAGAAGCAGAGTCCTCCTGGTGTTGGAGGCTCCAGCTGCTCTGATCCAGAGATCAGCAGATATTCATATTTCTCCATGAATCAGAGAAGCTTCACTATGACTGAGTAAGGCGAGCCAATCAGAGAAGAGCTCAGAGGAATCAGTGGTCAGCTGACTGACTGACTGCTCAGGTCTCCACTGCTGAAGGAAAGTTCACCAGTTCCTTCACTGGGAGGAACTGAGATTGGAACTGAAGAGTCCAGATGTCCTTGAACACACCGTGTCAGCAGGAAAATGATAATTCAGTAGTTGAAAGTGGGTCATTTTTCCTGTATTTGTTTTGTTTGGGTACAGCAATGGTTCTGGCTTTAGAGTCAATGTGCAGATTAATCCTCTGATTTTTGAATTTTCTCTGAAAAGAAGCTGGAAAACTTGTTCCATCAGCATTAGATTGAGTTCAGGTGGTAACGTCATAGGAGGGTTTGTGAGCCTGTCAACTGTTGCAAATAAAGCTCCAGCATTGTTCATGGTTTTTTTATGACATCTGCAAAGAAAGCCTCCATTGCATGTTTTAGTGATAGTTACGTAGTCTTTCTTTATAGATGTAGATTTATAGAAAAGATTGTAAAACGTTTGCGATGATTTGTAGAACATTTTTAAAATGAAATAATGTTGGAACAATGTCAGTGAGTGTGTGGGTTACAAAGAGCATGTTTCTTGAAACTAGCGGCTATCATTGCCGTCTCTATTCTATTGTACTGTGTGTATCATGCATGTGAGTGTGTGCATGTATGTGCATTTATTCATTCATTTTCTTCCGTTCATCCAGGGTGAGGTCACGGGGTCAGCAGCCTAAGAAAGGAGGCCCAGTTTGTTCTCCCCAGCTACTTGTTCCAGCTCCACCGTGTCCTGGATCTTCTCCAGTGGGTTGTGCCCAGAACATCTCAGCAGGAGGCGTCCTGACCAGATGCCTGGGCCTCAACTGGCTCCTCTCGATGTGGAGGAGCGGTGGCTCGACTCTGAGTCCCTCCTGGATGACTGAGCTTCTCTCTCTGAGGGAGAGTCCTAAAAAACTAACACTAATTTTGACCGCTTGTATCCATGACCAATGTTCCCTCTAAGCTGCACCTGTTCAATCGCGCTCTGCTTGCATATTCTCAGTACAAGAAAATCTATGTAGCGCATAAAATAAAGTCCAACATAAACTGGACATTGAGCTCAGACATCAGTTTGGACCAATAACAGTTTTTCTGTACAGTGACAGGGATCCAGCCAATGACACAATACGGTTCAGTTTCGCTGCAGCCAATCACTGCATGCTATTTTGTGTACATGTCTTGGTCATAGCGCTGTGGCACCATGCAGGTGAGAATAGTGCGGCGGAGTTAAGAGACGTGAAAGATAACACCTTATCATGTCTCAGTGGGACGTCCACTCACCAAGCCACAGTAAAATAAAGAAATACACTTCTAAGATCAAATGGCCGTCAGAGTTTGTGCAACTAGAAGAACAGTAGAGTGGACAGTGGAGGGACTGTAGAGATTATTCCTGTTATTAATAAGCTCTGTGATCACTTTGATGCTCGTTGTTCCGAGCATGAATTAAAGGAATCATCTGCATTTGATATTGAAGCATTGAGTTATGGATAAGCAGATATTTGTACTCTGGCAAAGACACATGAGGCCTTTCTCCTCCATCCACAGATTATGGAGGCATTAATAATCAATATGCTGAATTCAAGAACATAAAGCAAGAAGCAGACTGACCATCAACCTGGGCTAAGTGAACAACCACTGGAGAAGTGAGAAGAAAAAACTAATTAAATATTTTACAAGAATTTATTCTGTATCACAAGCTACAGAAAACATTTCATTATGAAAATGTGAATATTTGAATATTTATGTCTGAAAGGTGAAATGTCTCATTTCTCACTCTGGATAAAGCAGGACTCTTATAATAACAATGTTTTCTTTTTTTCATTTTAATTCAGCAAATCACTTCAATTAAAAGCAAACACATGAAAATTGCTGATGTAATCTGATTCTTTTAATAAGCCATGCGACTTTCTATGATCCCAGATTTATATTTGTTCGTGGCCACGCCCTGCACCGTGTCCACTGATGATGCCCACAGTGGACCTCAGTGTGTTCAGGAAGCTCCGTGTGCCCAGACACATGAACACCTAGAGGGAACATCTATACTACCGTTCAAAGTTTGGGGTCACATTGAAATGTCACTAAAAGCACTGTACTTTTCAATGAAGATAACTCTAAACCAGTCCTAACTTTAAAGAAATGATGTGGTAAATGACTATTCTAGCTAAAAATGTCTGCTTTTTGGTGCAATATCTACATAGGTGTATAGAGGCCCATTTCCAGCAACTATCACTCCAGTGTTCTAATGGTACAATGTGCTTGCTCATTGGCTCAGAAGGCTAATTGATGTTTAGAAAACCCTTGTGCAACCATGTTCACACATCTGAAAACAGTTTAGCTCCTCACAGAAGCTACAGTACTGAATGGGGACCCCAAACTTTTCAACGGTAGTGTACATAGATGGAATGTTATTCCCTTTTTAAGTTTAAGCTCCCGGATAGAATCCATCAGGATGAAAATCCTCCCACAGTTGATGGATTTATTTCAATGTCTATCTGAACAATTTTTAGAATGGGATCAATTAATAGCCAGGTATTTATGGAAGGGTAAAAAGGCCAGAATTAAGTTTAGAACTGCAGTTAAATAAAGAAAATGGTGGAATGGGCCTTTCCTGTTTATAGGAATATTAATATATTACACCATGCAGCCCAGCTGAGACCTTCAGTCTGCCTGTGATCTCCATCATGTACTGCAGCATGGAAGGAAGTAGAACGCTCCAGGATAAAATGAATCCCAATAACAGCCCTACTTAGTGATTATAAACTACAGGAAGAGCAGCAGATACCAGAAGACTCCATAACTGGTAGCTTCCTGAAGTCCCGGCAGGAATTGGTTCAAATCTGTAGAATCGGAGATTCATCTAAAATTATGAGGTGGTTTGCTTATGATTTTGCACCAAACAGAACTGATAACAGATTCAAACTATGGACCTCAAAAGGATTCACTACCTATTATTCATTCTCCCACAAAGGAAAATTTCAGAGTTTTGAAACCTTACAGAAGGATCCTGGACTCAGAGAAGATGATTTCTTTAAATACCTGCAGGTCAGACGTTATTTTAATATAAATTTTAAAGAGCAGCTGAAAGAAAGTGACTCAAGTCTCCTGGATGTATTCCTATCACTAATTAAGTCTGGATCAGACAGCAGAATTATCTCCAAACTATACAATGTTATACAGCTATCTAAACAGGAGAATACTGAATACATAAAGAGGAAATGAAGGCAATAATCTCACAAGAGGACTGGGAGGAAATATGTCAACTGCAGTGGATCTGGACTGGATCAAACACATGATGGGAGTTTTGCTGGAAAAACATTCCACGATTTTTTGTTCCACCCATTCAGAGAATATATCAAAGCAATGGCGCCACCTGCTGGAGACTCTGAGGGTCTAATGGTGCCCATCACTTCCATATTTTTTGGGACTGCCAGGTAATAAGACCATATTGGGAAGAGCTCCATAAACATATTGAAAATGTATTTAATGTAAACATACCATTTAAATGTGAAACTGTGTATTTGGGTAACTTGCGGTTGGACACCTGGACCAGTAGAGACAAAAAGCTGCTGGCTGTCCTACTGGCAGCCAGTAAGAAATCCATCACCAGGAAAAGGCTGAAACCAGACCCACCGATAAACAATTGAAATTGTTTATTGGATTTATGCTATAGAAAGGATTTCTTTCTCCCTCCAACTTGAAAAAGGTAAATTTTACAAGATCTGGACCAAATGGACTGAGTATGTAAAACCAACTAGATCAGACTTCACTTGATTGTTCTTGTGATTTATATGTACAGCCTTTCTATATTCTTGTGATCTTCTATTGCTTGAAGTGATGCGATCCCCCTTTTTTTATTTTTGTTTATTTATTTATTTTTATTTTACTTAGTCTATTTGGGTTTGTTTTTTGTTTGTTTGTTGTGTTCAATTTTGTTCAAACTTGTTATCGTTTATAACTAAGACTGTTAAAAAACACCAGAAAGGCGATATGGACAAAACCACCTGGATTCCATGCTGTCACCTCATGTACGACTTCAAATGAGTAACAATATAATTATTGTATGTGATTGAAATTTGTCTTTCTAAATAAAAGAAAAAATAATTTAAAAAAAGACAAATAATTGTCTTTGTAAAGGTTTTAAGGTGTCTCTGTCCACCAGACTGACCCTCTCAGACTGTCTGGTCCCCAGACTGTCCCAGACGGGATGTTCTCTGGACATTCTGAAATCCAGAAAATGTCAGAGGGAGCTGTGCTGTATTTTTATAGATCTAGAGAGCATATGTCTCCCCGTCTGTCCCTCTCATCCTGTCCCCCCCATCTGTCCCCGGCGTCTCTGACCTTCCACCTCTCGGAGCATTTCTTGGAGAACTCGGCAAAGTTGACCGACTGCTCGGGGTTTTTCTTGCGGTGTTCCTCTCGACACGTCTGGACAAAGAAGGCGTAGGCCGACGTCTTCCCCTTCGGCTTGTTGACATCTTTACGCATCATGATGGCGGCCTGAGGAAGAGGAGGAAGAGGAGGATGAGGAGAGTAGCTCCAGAGAAGAGTCCAACATGAAGACATCTTCATTATAGTACAGCCTCTAAAACTATTTATTAATAAAATGATTGTCATTAATATAAACCTGACATTATTTTCTCCTGCAAAATGAAAACAATAATAATAATGACAATAAAGACCTTTGGGCACTTAAATAATTTAGAAACAACATAATATGTAGGAGAAAATGTAAAATCCAGAAACCCTTCAACTTCAAATCATAGATTTGACAATCTATGATTTTAATAAGATGTGTAGATTCATCATATTGTGATGATTTAAAAATTTCTCCTGGTTGTAGTAAACCCTGCAGGGCAGATTAACACCAGATTAGCTCATTATAAGAGTTTTTGATCCATTAAATGTGATGTATGTAATTTATCAGGTCCATTTAATAACTGTTACAGTTAACAGTTACTGAGATCCTAGAGAGTGAGAGGATTTTTAAGGAGTGTATATTTCTGCTGGTGACAATTTTCAAGAACAAGAGAAAAAAACTGTAAAAAGTTCAGAAAGAGATGTTGAAGCCAAACTGAGGTCAAAAGGTCATCTGTGAGCAGTTTGGTTTCATGCCTACAAAATGTTTTATAATCCATGTTGATAGAACAGAGAAGCTCAGAGGATCTGCATTGTAAAGAAAGCAAGAGAGAAGCTGTTACTGCATGAGGAAATCTGGACTAACAGAGAAACATGTCAGACTGGTGAAGGACATGGATGTCAGACTGTGGTGAGCTGTGCTGCAGGAGGGACAGAGCAGTTCAAGGTGGAAGTGGGACTTCACTAAGGATCGGCTCTAAGCCTTTCCTGTTTCTGTGGTGATGGACAGATTGAGGACATGAATCTCCATTGTGATGTTTGCAGATGACATTATGATCTGTGGTGAGAACAGAGAACAGGTGGAGGAATGAAGGCTCGCTGTAGCAACACAGAATACATGATGAGAGACCTGAGTGGAGATATGAGGTTACAGGGAATAGAAATACAGAAAGTGAAAGATTTTAACTGCTCAACAGTCCAGGACAACAGCGAGTGGAACAGAAGTGAAGAAACTTGGTTTAGAGACGGTGGAAGTGATGCAGAGGTGAAGATGTTGAGGTTCTGTGTGGGAGCGACAAGAATGGATAAAATCAGAAATGAAAATATCAGAGCAATAGCTCATGTTAGATGTGTAGGAGAAGCCAGACTGAGATGTTTGGACTTGAACAGAAGAGAGACAGTGAAAACATCGGTGGACTGACTGAGGATGGACCTGCTGGAAAGAGACCAGAAGAAAACCAGAGATTTATGGATGGAGTGTAAGAGACATGAAGGCAGATGGAGAGAGAGAATAAGGGGAGGAAGGCAGGATTATATGGAGATGAAGGAAGATTTAATAACTGTGTTACACTAAAACTAGTCCTGACTTCCTGTTTAACCTCTGATTGGATCCTGGTTCTGTCCGGATTAAAATTATCTATTTATTTTACTAAAAACCCTAATTTAACAATTTCATCCAGCCTGAGCAGATTAATATGACCGGTTCTTTGAATCTGATCTGTTTCCAGTTATTTCTGTTTCAAAGGTCAATATTTAACTGATATTGGATCATAATTAATACCTGATCAGGTCAATATTAAACTTATATTTTATCATAATTAATACCTGATCAGGTCAATGTTTAACTGATATTGGATCATAATTAATACCCGATCAGAACTGTCTTCAAGCTCTCAGTGTTACTGTAATCATTAAATTAATAAATCCTTCATGTAAAGTGATGCTTGGACATTAAACCGTGTTTTCCTGTCCGGACATCAGTCCCGGGTCCATCCGGTTCTGCTCCCCGAGGCTCGGTTCTGTTCAGCGGCCTAACCCTCCGCGGCTCTCCGGGAACAAAGGACCGGGCCACAGGGTCCATTTCTAGCGGGCCTGAAGGCCTCTGGCTCTCCGGTTCTCCGCCTGCAGAGACCCGGTTCTCCTCCGGGACCTGTCCGTGGTACCGAAACCGGGTCAACCCCGATCCATCTCCTCCCGGGCCGCCGCGGCTAGCCTGGCCGAGCTAGCATGAAGAACAATGGGCCACCATTTCCCGCCTCTGCGCAGCGGCCCATCCCCCTCCGCGGGCCGGAGAACCGGACAGAAACGCTCTATAATCTGTATAAAGCAGCCCGCAGACCCGGGGAATTTAATTTACATTTCATACAAGAAACGGTTTATGTAGCTTAGCGCGTTTTGCAACGCAAACACCAAAACTCTGCAGCTGCTGCGCATTTTGAACGGTGGGCTCCGTCTACTTCCCGGAGAGGTCGGTGTCGTATAATCGGCTACTTCCTGGCATTTATAGTGAGAAAATGGGCGTTTCGTGTTTACAAGCTCACACTGTGGACAGTTTCCTGCGTGGAAACACTACGGAGCTCAGGCTGGAGGTCGGGACAGTCGCCCCGGTCTGACCGAAGCAGCAGCCATTTTAAAAACATTTCTCAGCTTTTTATCCGCAGAAAGCTGAGAAATATAATTTGCGGCATTTCTGAGTCTTTTTGCGGCTCAGAATCAGAACCGTCTCCAGGAAGAATCTAACCTGGACCGGTTCGGCTGAGGCAGGACGGACATGGGTACTCACGGTAGGAGGCCCGGAACCAGGACCGGATCTCTGGGCTTTCTGGGTATCGGTTCGGGTTGTTGTTTTGGGGCTGAAGATGCGACTGGAGCCGTTGGTTCACTTTCAAACTGGGTCGAACTGAGAATAAGCCACGCCCTCCAGAAACGCCCCCATTGGTTACCTTCATATAGGGGGCGGGGCCTAAGGCCAACCATCCGGGAGAAGTGCCATTCTATTGGAGGACAGTTTGTAAGTCCTCGCCTCTGATTGGTGAACAGGACGGCAACTCAGTGTCAAACCCCGCCCACTCATGATGAACCTTCACTTCTTGCTGGGCGGGGCTTTCATGCATGTCGCTCCAGCGATAAATGATAAACCGAATAATTGTTTATCGATAAATAAACATTTCTGGTCAAACAGGGTTGTTATTTCTGCGTTGTGCTGGTTTTCTTTAATAATTAGGCCGTGACACAGGTTTTGTTTTTTGGTTTATTCTGACGAGAACAAACAGAAAACCACCATGTTAGGGTTAGTCATTAAAATCAATTCCTGCTACTTTACAACCATAAGTTCAGTTAAATATCCACATGATGAAATAGATTTATGGATAACAATATTAGAATAGTGATTATAAGAAAAACTAACTTAATAAATCTATAAATAAACACCTGTCCAACTGCTTATTAATGCAAATATTGAATGAGCCAATCACATGGGAGTATTCAGACCTCATCATGATCTGCTGCGGTTCAAATTGAGCATCAGAAAAGGGAAGAAAGGTGATTTCAGTGACAGTGCATTTGGTGAGCAGCAGCTTGCAGGTGATGTGGGATCAGGGGAGGCAATGGCCTCTTTTCCATTATGACCATTCATCATGGAAAAATATAATATAAAATGTTGAAATAGAATTTTAAATTAGCACAATAGTACACAGGCTAATCTTTATGTTAAGACAAACTTAGATAAAGATCCAAACTAAAACAACTGGCCACTCTAAAAGTTTTACATGAATTGTATAGGGAGGATCTTAAAGAAAGACAGACTGAGACTCCTTAAATCTCTTTAGACAGGGAGTCTGTCTGCCAGACAATTAAAAAATTCCTTAGCGTGGTTCAAAAGTTCACTAGGATCTTAAAACTTTTTATAAATAATTTTATCTATGTTAGAATTAACTATATTTCTTTAAGCATGTTTTGAATTAGTTAATTCTTAGATCCAAACTTATAGTCATTATTTAGCATTACATTTTGTGCAAGCTTGGTTAAAAAACACCAACTGGTTACTTGTTGAAGCATTTTGAGGCAGAGATAACGTTCCAGCCGCACGTCATAGATCAGTCTGGCCAGAGCCTGGTACGAGAAGAGCTGGGTGTTTCAGTGGGTCTCAGAGGTTATAAAATTAATATTTAAGACAGCCCACACAAAGGAAAAAAACCACACCTCCTAATGCATATATTTAAATAAGGAGAATACACATTATTATAAAATGGTTTGTTTTGAAGCAGAAGTTCGAATCTCTTTGTGCTGAGTGAGAGTTTCCCAGAAGATGCATCTTTTGTTTGTGTTTTTATTTCCCTTTTTACTCGGTTAATTGTTTCTGTTTTGTCATGTCTTGGAGTTTTGATGATCTAGGTGAGATGCTTATTGTAACATTCTTTTTGCATTGAATTCACTTTTGGATAAAACTCTAGATTTTGAAGTTTGACGTATGATTGCTCTTTCTCCCTGCACATATATTGAAACACAAGAAGAGCCAAAAGAGGAATGAATTAATGAGCTAAATCAAGTTATTCCTCATTTTAATTCTCAACAAAAATAATAATTTTCACGCTGTGGTTTGTACTGTAAAGTATTTCTTTTTTATTTAGTTTAATCAATTTTTATTATTTTTCTTCAAAATCACTTTAGTTTAGGGTTAGCACAAGGAAAGAAAGTCACGCAAAGGGGACACTGCCCCCTCGGTCGAGTGCCTGGCTTCTCCCGCGGGCTTTGGACCCCGTTGTTGGATGGTCCTACCCCGGAGCTCAAAGCCCGCAGGAGGGGGCCGGGCGTTCGGTCCCCCCCATCCCCTCCCAATTTTTTCCCTTAAAGTTCTATTACCTTACCAGGGGCACAACTTTGCTGGGCGTGTGGCTGGTTGGTTTAGTCTGTGGAGGGGTGTTTAAGTGTGGGTGAACCGGTTCGGCTGGAGGTCCTGGTTCTGACAGAGGCTCCAGGCCTGGTTCTCTGTGACCCAGAGCTCTGGAGCTGTGCTGGGGTTGATTTAATACAAATAAAGAGCATCTTTGTTCTGAACGGTCAAATTCAACTTCCAATAAAACGGGTAAAAATGAGTTCCGCCCAGGAAAGTTATATATTGCCGGAAAGCCTGGAGCCTTAAGAACAATTCGGCGTGGGTATCCGCTTTCTAAACGGTTTCCCCGGGAAAAATGGCGGATGTGGTGCCGGGAAAAGGCTAGAAACACTGTGAAAAACGAAGAAATATGGGAAAAAAGTACCACTGGCCAATAGCCTGTGTTCTGGAGAATAGCCCTGTGCAGTTCAATAATTTTTAGCACCTTCTCAGGAGCCAGGAGAAAGTTTCAAAGTGTTTCTGGGCATCCAAAACATTGCCCCCCCATGACACCCGCTTAACCCTAACCCTAAAAGGAAGGGTTAGGGAAAAATGGAAAACGGTCCAGGGACCATCCGCGTCTCCATCGCCGCTTAACGGCAGCAGAGATGCAATGCACAGGCCATATCGCCCCCACAGCCCCCGAGGCCGAGGCCCTCACCGCTCATTCAGTCCCAGAGGTGAGTACATGTCCAGTCTGGCCACCCAGACCAAGGCCGCCTTACGCCTTTGGTCCAGGGTCCAGGTCGGGTCATGTTCCAGGACCATGACCCTGACCGAGCTCCAGCCATGCTGTGCAAAATGCACACTGAGCAGGGCTGTTGGCTTCCCCTTAAGCCGTCGGGCCACATCTCGTTCATGCAGAACCAGTCTGGCCAGCATCGTGTTCGCCGTGTCACCCACAAACCTTCTCCTGCAGAGACGGCATTGAATTAAACACAATTTTTCGTTTGTGGCCCCCCCGCCCGTAGGCGGGACAAAATAAACTTTGTGGGTCCGGTGGTTCAGCAGCCATTTTTGGTGTCTGAAGCACCAGCCCAGGCCAATGGGTGTGCTTGGCTCAATCTGAGATTTGAGTTTCGCATGAACGAGTCGGTCTTTCAGGTTCCTGTTTCTTCAGAAAGCAGGCAGGACTCTCCTATCGGTCAGCCTTCCACTAATGGACTGAAAGTCCCTAAAATTTTGTTTTAAACTATGGGCCAAATCTACTGTAGCAGGTGAGTAGGTGGTGATGAACGGAAGCATCATGTTTGTGTCACCCTTGGGCCGCCTGGAATCAGAGAAGACCCTCAAACACCTCCTTAAGAAAGACCTCTGGTACCCTCTGCTGGACAAAGCCGAGAACATTACTCTGACTGCTTAAAAAAAATCTTTTTTTCGTGTGCAAATCCTATCAAACCAAATCAATTGTGATTTAACCAATCCCACAAACGTGTGCTTCGGATGGAAACTAGATTTAAATGACAATGCGTGGGTCTCAGTAGAGAGAGACATTAGGTACATGCTTTCGTCAAATCCCATTTTGACAGGTCCCCTTTGACCTAATTCCCCCCCCCCTCCTCCTCCTCCTCCTCCTCCTCCTCCTATTGATTTTTATCTTTTTAAAGAGTAATACCAATACAACAACAGTTATTTAATCAAGAAAAATGTATATAATTATATACTATGCCTACTGAAGTTTTAAATAGATTTGGAATGGAGATGTTGCTTCTGATTCTGTGACTGGCGTACAACTGTGGTCTGAGCTGTGGGGGCTTGATCAAATATAGGGTACGGGCTGTGAAATCCATATGGTCTGTGTGTTAGGTTTTTTCTGTTTTCTCTCTGCTGAATTCAGAAAATGTCGTATATCTGACTTTCTTTTTAAGAGTAATACAGCACCCAACAACAACAACAACAATTATTTAACCAAGTAAAAAAAAAATGTATATAATTATGTAGTGAAGTTGAAATAGATTTGGAAATGGAGATGTTGCTTCTGATTCTGTGTCTTTATTCAGCCAGGCATAGAATTGGAGGTCCGAGCTGCGATACGCAGAGGCTTGCTTGCTTGCTTGCAAGTAGGTGCGAACTTTGCTGGATGCAGACAGAATGATAAATTAGCCACCTCGGGGATGGGAATTCAGAGCGATACAGAATGACAAATTAGCTAGCTCATGAACCCCCCGCTGATCCTTGGTTCATGAAGGGGGCAAACCAGAGCGACATCTGGTTTTTGTTTGTTTTTTGTTTTTTTTAGGGTAGGGTTAGGGTAAGAAAAAACGGTCGTAAGACCATTCGTGCCTCCGCAACCGCTGAACGGTCGCCGAGACACTGTGCAACAGGCCATATTGCTCCCCCGAACTCCAAGGCCGGGAAGATCACTTCTCATTTAATCCCAGAGGCGAACGTGTGCCCAATTTGGCCATCCAAATTAAGGCCGCTTTCTTTCTCTGGCCCAAAGACCAGGTCGGGTCATGTTGCAAAATCATGACTCTAACTGAATTCCACCCATGCCGCACGAAATGCGCGCTGAGCCGGGCGGTCGGCTTCCTCATTAGCCGTCGGGAGACATCTCGCTCATGCAAATACAGTCTGGCCAGCATCGTATTTGCCGTATGCCCCACAAACCTGCTCTTACAGAGACGGCATTGAATTAAATAAACACAGTTCATGGTCTGTGGGCCCCCGCCTAGTGGGGGAACAAAATAAACTTTGTGGGTACGGTGGTTCAGCAGCCATTTTTGGTGTCTGAAACACCCACCCAGTCCAATCGGTGTGCTCTGCTCAATCTGTGACTTGAGTTTGGCATGAACGAGATGGTCCCTGAGGTTTCTGTTTCTTCGGAAAGCAGGTATGACTCTCCTGTCGGTCAGCCTTCCACTAATGTTCTGAAAGTTCCTAAAATTTTTTCTCAAAACACGGGCCAAATCCAGTGTAGCAGGTGAGTAGGTGCTGATGAAAGGAAGCGTCTTGGTCGTGTCATCCTTGGGCTTTACTGATTCAGAGACGGCCTTCAAACACCTCCTTAAGAAGGACCTCTGGTACCCTCTGCTGGACA